TATATAGGCCCTATTTAAATATCCAATTGAGGCTCCGCCACAGTACGCCGCAATCGTCACAGTATTAATTACATTACCTTACAAGCATGTTTTAAAAGTTTGTGAAAGAAAATATATGTATTTATTCATAGTTCCCTGTAATGTTATCCCACAACCCACTAATGGTTACATTCACGGTGGAAATTGGCGGACCGACACGGTAGCAACATGCGGATGTGAAGAAAATTATAGCATTAATGGGTCTGTAACACGTCGTTGCCTGGCTAATGGAGAGTGGACTGGGTACGAATGCAGCTGCATGAGTGAGTTATAACAAATTTTACTATAGAAGGTACAATAGGCTCGGAGTGCGCACACGGACGTGTGTTGTGGGCGAATCGTTCTACTAATCATGTTTAATGTGTATAAAGCGCTGTACTTGAAAATCGAAATTATTTATTTATAAATCATACAGTCAAAGTAGCCTACCTAGAAAGAGGAGCTCAGTATATTTATATTTAGACTGCTGGGATTCACTACATATTTGTTCTCAATTCAGTTAATAGATGCGAGACGATTCAACCATTAGAAAATGGAATGATTATAAAAATGAGCGAATATACTATTGGTGGAACACTGGAGTTCTCTTGTAATGAAGACTATCGACTAATAGGAGAATCAGTTGTGGAATGCCAAGAAAATGGAAATTGGAATGGATCTGTTCCAATTTGTGAAGGTAGGTCTGTATTTGATACATAGAGCTATTAAACAACTAGAGTGCTGACAAGATGGCGAAGCAATGCAGAGTTGTGTATGTGTAATCAATAAGAGGGTTGGAAGAGTGTAGGAAGCCAGCTATAAGAATTTTTCAAGATAGTCCATAGAGTTCCCTCATCAAAAACCAGGAAGTGAAATTGTTTGATGACAAAAAACGTATAATAGTGCCCTTTGGTACCTACTCTTGGTTCCTGTTTGTTCGGGAAAAGTTGACAATACAGATGAATATATATAGGCCTGTAAAACTTTGCCTATTTGCTATGATTTCTTTATTCTAGATATCTGTGAATATAATGAATGTACAGTAAATCAGAAATGTGTTGTAGTAGAAGAGCAACCTACATGCGTTTGCAAGACTACCTCTGACTGCCCACCAGATGACCAACCAGTTTGTGGAAGTGACGCAAGGACTTATGGCAATGCATGCTTAGTTCAAGTAGTAGCCTGCGATAGTCAAAGTGACATTTACATTGCTCACGCAGGGAAGTGTCAATACGGTATGGATATAGAACCAATATAACAGCAGCTTAACTCAGTCGGCTACAAATCGAAATCAAATTCTAAATCACTTTATTAAACATACGCTTTATATCAGTAGCACACATCAAAATGATGGTGCTTTGACAAAATAACCTTCCACAAAATTAGAT